ATAAGAATCTTTCCTTTGGGGATTCTGGGAGTTGTAGTGCCCAAACTTGCTTATCCCAGCTATGCCATGGATTGTCTGCTGAAGTAGACAAGTTATTCTGAATACAAATAAAGTATCTGACCCAGAAAATTTGAACAGCAATCATGTTTTGTAGTAGTTATATTTAAAAAAAAATTCATGTTTTACCAGTTTTGCTAAGTTGTCACATAGTCACTTTTGGGAGTAAACCAGTTGCTTACTCCTGAGGTAAAGAAATATTCAGCAGAATTGCAATTTTGTGTAATAATGTATTAAAATGCCAACGGTTCCCAAAGTACCTTCTCTTGAATGTTTTGTACTCTTCAGTGATTGATCAAGACTGCCAAAAAAGTTCAAAAAGGGAAGGAAATCTCATTCTTGCATTTCAGGCATGTTTTTTGTGGTGGTGGGAGGTAACAATTTTCCAGTGGAGACAGCAACTGGATCAATAAGAATTCTGGCAAACAAAAGTACTTGGTCTTAAATTCAGAAATTTCAATGGCTCCATTTGAATGCATGGTGTGGGGACCGATGCATTGTTGCTATGCTGGGGGAACAAGTAGTTTATTTTGTATGTGATTAGCCGAGAGGAATGCACAACCAGAAAATCCCAAACTGGTATAAAAAAATTCAGAGGCAAAGCAGTGTTAAGTCTGGGATATTAGTATGCAAAGGAATCTTGTAGCACGGTTGAGAATAACTGAGCAAAAGATGATGTAGCATAAGCCTTTGTAGACCTGGTCTGCTTCCTCGGATCAGTGGTATCACGGGTTGGCATTCACCTGGTGTAGCAACTCATGGTTGCACCCTCCCCCCCCCCATTGACCTCTACCATATTATACAGAATTCTTAGTATTTTTTTTGTACTAATGATACTCATAAATCATAATTCACGCATATCACTGAATGTAATGGCAACAATAGCAGTGGCATAAACAACTAGCAAAATCAAAGTGATGCCTTTAAATTACAATATCATACACACAGCCTAAATGTATTCACATATACAAAGTTTCATGTGGTTAAATTAAAAATTTGGTAAGATGTGATGTCTTTAAAGAATTGTTTAAAATGTTTACATTTATTAATTAATTTATTTTTAAAAAGGCAAACACCATAATCTGGTTCTTTCAAAAGTCATATGTTTGGAAATCAATGCTGTCAACACCCCCAGGGTGTCACCTGTTGAGGTCCGCACCCCCCATCCACATAGCCCCTTTAGTGACATCCCTGCTTCAGATGCAACTGAGAAATAGACCAGGTCAATGAAAGTTTATGATACAATATCTTTTGCACAGTCAGTCATTCTCAAAGGTACTACAAAATCCCTTTGCATACTGGTGTGAAAAAGTCAAAGATGTCACCAGTATCAAAGCTTGAGAGAATTTACTTTTTTTTACTACAACTCCCACAACACCCCACCCACCATGGTATTCTGTGAGTTATATTTAAAAAAAAAAGTTCACTTTTCCAAGCTTTTGGACTGGTGGTGTCAGTGGCCCTGGAGAAATAGTAGCAGTGCTCACCAATCAGAAGTTGTCCCAGTACTGATAGCCACATATATCCCCACTGTCAAGGACAAAAGCATATTTCCAGCCCTCCCACCTGTACAACTACATTGCTGATGTGTACAGCACACAGAATTTTCCTAGAGAGCCCTCTGTCCATCAGTCTGAGGCCAAGGTTCTACAATGAGTCTTTTGTTGTTGTTATTGTTAACCACCCTCAAGTTGATCTCGACTCACGGCCACCCTGTAGATGAGACATCTCCAAGACTCCCTATCCTCTATTCTTCTAAATTCTTGCAGATTCATATCCATGACCTCCTTAATACATCCATCTAGCATGTAGCCTTCCTCTCTTTCTACTTCCCTCCACCTTTCCTACCAGTATTGTCTTTTCTAATGAGTGATGCCTTCTCATGATGTGGCCAAAGTACGACAGCCTCAGTTTAGTCATCTTTGCCTCCAGGGAAATTTCAGGCTTTCAATGAATATTTAGTGTAGTGTAAATCCCTGCCTGTGGAGTTTCTCATGGATTGTGCTATGGATACATTTTTTTTTTTTGTATGGCATCACTGCACAACTGAATGCACAATGGAATGTGCAGCCAGATTGTTACTGAATGCACAATGAAATACACAACCAAAGGAGTGCTACTTCCAATTTCAGCAGGGGCAGGTGGGTGTGTCTTCATCAGGAATGTGCATCCACATGCACAACTCCACTTTAACAACCTTGAACTGAATATGGATGGTGTGTGTTGGGCAAAAATGTCCAACCGCTTCCATAGGGGAAATTATGCATGCATAAGATACCAAGTGTTTTGAGTGCTGGACTAGGAATCTGGAAAACCAGGGTATGAATCCTCACTTGGCCATGGAATCCCATAGGCCTTGGACAAGTCACACTCTCTCTGCCTCAGAGAAAGGCAATGGCAAACATCCTCTGAATTTATTTTCCCAACAAAACCCCGTGATAGGATTGTCTTAGGGTCACCATAAATTAGAAACTATTGAAGGCACACAATATGACACCAAGAGGTTGTGACTTCAGCATCCCAGCCAGCAAGTCCAGTACCATCAAGTCCGTAGACATCTCTTCAGACAGGATGTTCATCTCTTGTTATCCTGCTTCACAAACCCTGATTTGAAGCATAGCCACATTCAAAAGGGAGGAAGTAGGGCCTGTGGAAAACAACACTGACATAGCTCTCTGGATAGGTGGGCTGTAGAAAGCCAGAGATCATGCACAACTCTCCTGGCTTTAAAGTCCACCCAGGGAGGCAAAGGCTGTTTTGCATTCCAGCAATAGCTGGAGAGGACACAATTGGCCTAAATATCCTAAAGACATCAGATCCCATCTGATTTTGGAAGCTAACCTGGGTCAGGCCTGGTTAGTACTTGAATGGAGACAGCCAGTGAAAACCTGGTGTAGGCTTTATTTCAGAAGGAAGGAACTGGTAAAAACCACCTCTGAGTGGTTTCTTGCCTAAGAAAACCTAAGAAATTCATGGGGTTGCCATAGGCTGACACATGAGTTAAAGGCACACACATATATTGCCCACCCTGGATGTAATGTTGTCAAATAAATCTTGCAAACTTTGATAGCATGCAAGCAAAATGTGACCCTTGCATATTTGTTTTTCTCTATTACCAGCCTCAGAACAAGGGCAATGGCACCAGGAAATGTCTGATTGCTGCATGCAAGAGGTTTTCCATCTCCTGCCTGTATTTAAGACTCCTGTTTGAGAAAGAGGTGGAAATCACATAGGAGTCATTTGTGAGATTCCTGGCAATGGCGGAGCAGATTCCAAACCACAACACTGCCTTACCCAACCTAAACCTAATCTAGATCCAGCACTGAATATTTGCTTCCTTGACCTGTCTCCATGCATAACACATCTGGGATTGTGGTGATAGTTCTGAATCAAGTTGTGCCAAAGGATTAGAGAGCAAAACATCTCTACCCTGTCTTTGGAAATAAATGTCTCACATGCTGTAATTTATTGTTAGCTCAAATATGTATTTCAGACTCACTCCCCTCTCAACTTTCTTCTTGTGCCCTAAGAGGAAGAAATGAGATTGTATCATATTCTAAAATGGATCTCAGGCTGGGGAACAATAAAATCAGTTTGGATACTTTAAAAAATTAAAACAATAAAATGTTTTGAAAGCTAAAAATATCACACACTATTTAACACTTTCAACTGGACATTTTAAAAGCATTTAGAACAATTTAAAAAGACTCACATGGGCAAATTTGGGTGAAATCAGTCTTGCCTCAAAAGTTTTAGGCTGCATTGGCACTGCAGAAATAATCTACATTG